TCATAGAGATTTTCTTCTGGCCGGTAGCAAGGCCGTGACATTACCTTGCTCCGAAGCCGCACAAACTCACCCAAACAAACAAACGGCGGACTTTGAAGGCTTCCATATAAATAGATTTATCTATAAAACAATCGATATTTATACGTATTATTTTTTTAAAATCTATACTATTATAATAAAGCGTAAACACACACTTCTTTGTTGCCTAAGATGTTAGCAATTACAACATATTTTTGGATAATTCCTTTTTTAATAAAAAGCTCTACACTTACGTCACGCTTTAGGCTATATATTTTCACGCCATTAAACTTAGCGGGTAAATATTTTGGACAAAAACCCTAATGTGGGAAAGAGACCATAAGTTGCTGCCAACATCAAGGAAACAAGATTGCCAAGGTCATGTTATATCAGTTTTTCATTTGCTATTGCCAATTTGACAAATCTAAACAAGAAAATAAATTTTTTATAATTCCATGCGGATTAAGCCGCACGGGAACAGCTAGTAGAAACTATATGTAGACCTACTAAGAGATGGATGGAAAGGTGACATGATCAAGAAGGGAGTGAGTTGACGGATGATAGTTATTTGGAGGACGAAAATCCTGCGGGAGTAGGATAAGGGGAGATGACGATGAGACTCTGAATAATTTTTAATACAGTCATGTACTGATTTGTCTAATTTGTGACACTTGTCTTCTTGGGAGAAGACCGGTCTTTTCGGTTGTTTACAAATAGACCTACGTCTAATAGAAAATAGTAATACCGTTTTCGTATAACATTCTGGTAACGGCTGTTACTTTTTGTTGTAAGATTTTTTATGACTATTTGACCTCGATGACCATGGGCTTCGGACAATTTTCATGCTCCAATATGCTATTTGGTAACGAAATTATTGTGAAACGCAGAGTTTAAAAAACTAAAAGACTTGCCCATAAATTAAACTTTCTTGAGTTAATTATACTTTGGATACTCGAATTATAAACATACATAAACGATATCATTTTATCTGTATTTAAACGTCGTCAAAAATGAACATGGCAGTTATTTATTAATAACTAGCTTTCGCCCGCGACTCCGTTCGCGTGAAATTAAAAAAAACAAAAGTGAATAGCCTATGTGTTCTTCCAGATTACCTTCTACATCTATGCCACATTTCATCGAAATCCGTTCAGCCGTTTAGGCTACAAACTCTAACAAACATCCATCCATCCATCTATCCATCTAAACTTTCACATTTATAATATTAGTAAGATTAGTAAGAAGTAAGATTATTATGAATGAAGTTTGTTTGAAGACGTCCGCTCTATTACAAAATAATTTTAATGTCTTTGTAATAACCATTGCAGTGCTGCATTAAAAACAAAAGACTACAAGTATTTAGAACAAAATAAATAACAGAATGGCTTTTTATGGTGATAATCCTCATATATGTTATCCGTAGCTAATGGTTAACGCGGTCGTCTACCGTGACCTATGCCATAATCAGAGATGATTAAAAATTATCGAAGGTGATGCACAACGAACCAATGTTATACTATACACGTGAGAAAAAATGTGCTAAATTCTTTCAAACATCCAGGCGAATCAAGGTCATCGGTATTCTAAATCGTGCCCTTTCACGATACATTTAGAGTAGGGTTGTAACGGAGGACATTTTAACGGAAGCGGAAGTGGTTGCGGAGTTAACATTTCTTGCGGAAGTTCCGCACTTGCGGATGCGGAACCGAAGTTCAGTTACGACTCTAATTTAGAGAACGCCCACACCTTAGACAACTGTGGTGCGATTGTCGATTGTTTCGCAGCCTCAACTGTTTAGTCGCACAACTAAAAATTAGTGTGCACCTCCATATAAGCTTATAGGAATCAAAGCGCGACTAAGCAGTTGTGCGATAGTTTATTGAAAACAACTATAGCATTTACAATATTCATTGACCTTTTTATGCCCAATTTCACGTGTTTTTTAACTGTGTGCCTCAGATGTTATGTCATAAAACTATCTTTTTAATTTCCAGGAGACGTACAGCGAGGTACAGACTACATCAACAGAGGATCACCATTGTCATTGGAAGCCACAGAACCAACCGCCAAGTTCAGTACCGCAACTGCTCGCCGCGTTGTTACTCTGTGCTGTGTTTATGGTACGTTGAACCTCAACTCTTCTATCACCTGTATTATTGTCGCCATCCCTTTCACTATGTTCGGAAAAACAGAGATAGCAATGTTTTGTCATGAACTGAAGAAAAATATAAGAAGTCAATCGTTAATGTGCAAGCGTAGTTGAATAAGGTTTAGTCGGATAATTAGGGTAGGCTCGAAATTCCGCCCATATAATACCAACTATACTATCTTGTTTAACCTCGTTTTTCAGCTAATTTTGAGTTGCTAAAGTTTCCATTAATTTAATCACTAGCTGTTGCCTGCGACTTCATCCACGCAATATTAGAATGAAAAAGTAGCCTATAATATGCCCGTGTATGTCAGCGAAACTTTAGTGAAAGTCCGATCGAATTCGGTCCAGCCGTTTTGGAGTTTGCCCGGAACAAACGCGGCTTGCGGACAGACAGACAAACAAATTCTTTTTAAATGCGATTTTCGTTATCAGCTAGTAATGTAATAATACGGGTCAGTAATGTACTCAAAGATACACATATTGTAATACTGTTTTATACAGGTTCATAATCATCATCATCATCATCTCCCCTGCCTTATCCTACTCCCGTAGGGTCGGCGCACCGGGTTTTCGTCCTCCAAAGCACTCTATTATCCGTCATCTCAGTCATCACTCCCTTCTTGATCATGTCACCTTTCACGCAATACATCTATCTCTTTCTAGGTCTACCTCTACCGATGTACCCCTCCACATTCATAACTAACATCCTTCTTGTTACATGCGATTCATCCCTTCTCATAACATGCCCATACCACTCTAACCTTTTACTCCTTATTTTCTCAACCACTGGGGCTACTCTCAAACTTCTTCTAATATACTCATTTCGTATCTTATCCAATCGTGTTACCCCACACATCCATCTTAATATTCGCATTTCCGCTACATGTATTCTCCTTTTATCCGTCCCTTGCACCCGTCGTTTTATACAGGTTGTATAGTTTTTTTTTTGGAAAAGATTTTTCATTCGCTCTTCAAAGGCAGAACATTTAATTTCCCTGAATATCTTTTGTTCTTTGGTTCTTTAGTGGAATACAGGGACCCCTATTTTCTTTTATAGAATGGAATGCATTTTTCATCGTTTTTTGCCCGCATATTGTTGTAGATTTTTACTAGGTTAAAGAAATACATTTGAAAAATGTTTAGTAATCCCTTATTTTAGATTTAAAGTGAGAAATTAACACTTAGTGTCTGCCTTAGGGATTCATTGTCAAAGTCCGAGTGCGGTAGTTAGGTGTTTTTATCTTGTTTTTAAACGCATAAGATTGTGTTTAAGCGTTTTTATGCGAAATCACCTTCACGTGATGTTAGTCTACAGTTGTGTACAGAGCCAACATATCATCCACTGCCCCTTATCCCTTACGGAGGGTCGGCACAGTATGTGCTGCTCTTCCATACATCTCTATCAGCCGTCATATCTGAATCCACTCCTTTCTTAAGCATATCCTCTTTCACACAATCCATCCATACTTTCTTCGGTCTTCCTCTACCTTTGTAGCCATCCACATTCAATCTTAACACTTTCTGGTTTATGTCTCCATCATTTCGTCGCATGACATGTCCATACCACGCTACAGAGTACAGAGTCAACGTGCATCTAAAATTATATGAATCAGATTGTATGTTATTTATATGTTCTCTGTAATCTACATATATTATTGTCGTGTGTAATTACTGGCATGATTATTTCCTGTGATGACTTTTGTGTACACGTTCTACCTATTTCTTGTTTATGGCTCTCCCTCAGCGGATTAGGCTAGTGTCGAATACATTCTTCGTCATCTATACTGTCTATACTCTATACTAATACAGTAGAACCTCGATAACTTCAAAAATAATATGTCCCCTTCCCATCAGAGCCCAAAAACTCTAAAACATAGACCCTTGATAACTTAAAAACCTCTATAACTTAAAATATTTTTTGTTTGCCTTGGACTTTAACTTGTCGAGGTTCTACTCTATAATCATGCGTGAACACACACTACTTCGTGACGTAAGATGTCAGCAATCACAGCATACTTCAATCTTTAATAAAAAGTCCGACACTTACGATACGCTTTAGGCTATATATTTCACGCTATTAAAATTAGGTGGTAAATAAATTAGAAAAAACCCTAATGTAAGAAAGGGACCACAAACTACAAGCTGCCAACATTAAGGAAACAAGGTTATTATAGTAACGTTGATTTTGAAAAGTAAACCTGTATTTAAATGCATGTAACCCAACCCTAATCGCTTCATGGAGGAAGCACGTTTCGCAAGTTAATTAGTTCGATTATAAGCTAAGCATAAACTTAGCGCCGTTAGGTTAATAACTAGTTTATGTACGTGAGCTTGAACATACTGAAAACCAATTAAAACACGAATTTTATTATAGGGAGAGCGTATTTTAATTAAACTTAGGTCTTTTAGAATTAGGGCATTTAGAAATATGATTGAAAAAAATTAGATCACAATCTTACTAATATTATAAATGCGAAAGTTTAGATGGATGGATGTTTGTTATAGTTCGCAGTTTAAACTGCTTTTT